TAACACACGTTCAGTTTTGGAGTCGTAAGTACAAAATTTGTGCTGCTTCTCAGCAAGATACTTGAGAAGACATTTAAATCCGTCGAAGGTTTCAGCCAATACACGGCATTCACCCCGATGTCCAATTTGTAGTGAAAACTTAACTTTCACGAAGTTCAAAAGTTCCATGCGAAGAGCATGGAAATGAAATCGGAAATAGTTATCACAATAGGGGAAAGTTAACTTGAATTTTTCTTGGATGATGGATCATTCTCATCATCCGTGAGCAAATCAAATTGATTGCTCAAATTAATTTCATCAGAAGGGGGATCAAGAGTTTGCCCTTTTCTATTGCGCTTAGGTGCCATGGCGGCAGTAAATTTTTATCAAAATCGACTTCCAAGCAGATTACTATAAGAATCTGAAGGATCGAAGAGGAATTTTCCAAATCGATATCCAAGAAGTATTACCTCGGGTAGGGTCCAAACAAGGATCGAAGAGGAATAAGAGTTGAACAAGGTAGACATTTTACGGGTTGAGCACTGAAAAGTGCTGTTCGCATTTTTGTTTTGTTTTGTTAAACTACAGATAGAAACTGTGGAACAGCCATTCAATCAAAAAGCGTCAAAGCGATTTGTTATTTTAGTTTCCTGATGGATTTATTTCCACTTCATCCAATAATACGACATATCATGGCGAAGCTAACTATTATTTTAATGGTGAATATTACATTTCATAGTATTAATTTCATAACAACGTTCCGAGGAGCCTCATAAGCATACTGATTTTGAACAAGCAATGATCGTTTGTTCAAGCTTTTTGTAATGAAATAACACATTGTTCGGATATCATAAGGATTTCAAGGATCTCAAACTAAATAAAATTCTCATGATAGATGCAATTCTAAGGGTTAGATAGAATGTTGTAACTGGATTTCAATAAGATGATCCATATTTAATCATCAATCAAATCTCAGACAAAGGTACCAACACTTAATTCTAGGACTTTTAATTTATAATTTTAAAATTTCTGGCTTTCAATAATCGCAATGTGCACATAATAAATACATTTACGACATAGGAAAAAAATCAAAATATATGTCCATGAACTATCCTTAAAATTTTGAAAGTTTAAATAATAAAAGTTTTGAGATCCCAAACCTGTCTGCTTTCCAGCTTCTAATTTTTGTTGAAAAAAGAAAATTATAAAGCATTTATCTAGAATTTTTTTCTATACTTTGGGCTAACTAACTCTCGAGATCTCGGAGTTTGATATAAAATCTAGAGTGAAGTCCCAAATTTAACTTTAATTCCAATCGAAAGGAATGAACTAGTAGCTTGTATGCTTGTGCCCCTGTTTGAAGTTAGATACTATATGAATTTCTTATCTAAGCTTATTGGGTTTTTTTTTTTTATTTGAAATTGGGTTAGTTTTGGTTGAACCCACTAGGTGCCAGTTTATTATTTACTCGTCCTTTATACGGATATGAGCTTTTTAGTTATTTTTATTTTTTTATATTATCAATGTTCAATGTTTTAAACCATACACACTATATCGTGCTAATTCTTGAAAAAATTTCTACATCACCAGTCTTCCCTATAGAAAATGTACTAACATGTCCTTGAAATCTAGATTCACCATTCAAGATTTCATAAGTTTCTTTTTCTTTCCTTTATTTAACGTCGGTCTCTGTTCCGCAATTTAGTGCCAATCACCGACGGACATAGATTGCCATCCATTGACGGCAACCGAATGTGCAGGAAGGCAGCTTCCACACCTGCGTAGGATATCGCACCCATTCACCATTCAACACACATGGGCCGGGACCAACGGCTTTACTTCCCTTCCGAAGGAAGACGTGACCAGAGATTTTTATGCCTCAGAAAAATCCCACCGACCTCGGCTGGGATTGAACCCAGACCCATCGGGGTGTTAGAAAGCAGGCACGCTTACCACTACACCACCGGCGCCGGCTATAAGTTTCTTTTAGCTGGAGTACTTTTGAATACTTTCTAATCAACCTGCAGTCTTGAAAGAATATATGACAGACTTCATTTGTATTTTCAGACTTCATTTGTATTAACAGACCAGAAGTCTTGAAAAAATATCAAAAGAACTTTACTACTATCTTCGTCTATCTGTTCAGGAAAGATGTCTGAAAGAATATCCTGTAGCCTATGCAATGTTCCCTCAACATCTTCAAAACTCCCTTAAGCTTTACAAAATATTCTCAACTTCTACAAAGTTCCCTGAATTTATGCCAAATTTTTATAGGGGAAATGGATGTAACGTCGGCCTAAATGCCCCTAACTTGGGCCCATACATAAATTCAGCAATCGACTAAATTTTCAATAGCGTCCTAAAATATCCATTAGTACCGGTCCCAATGACGTGTTCATCTAGATAAAATTGTTAGTTAGCAGATTTTTAGCGATGGGCCCAATCTTAGATCCACAGGCCAAAATAAGAGCCATTTCCCCTATTTTTTTTTCCATTTCTCTTAATTACTTCTGAAAAGACCCCCATCATCTACAAATATTCTTAAACACCTGGAAAGTTCCTTGAAATTTAACGAAGTTCCCAAAACTTCCTAGAAGTTCATTGAGCTTTTTTGAAGTAAGATCTCTGACAAACTGCAACGAAGTTCCTTAAGCTGAAGCGAGGATCCCTGAAGATCTTAGAAGTTGGCTGAAATATTTTTTTAAGATCTTCTACAAAATTCCCTGAAGTTTTATCCAGCTTCTCAAAATGCTACGAAATTTCTGCACTTCTACGTTTCTCGTTGATTTTCAGCGAAGTTCCACGTATGGAACTTCTTGAACTTGTACGTAATGCCCTGAACTATTCCAAGCTCATGAGAAAAAGTATCCTGAAATTATATGAAGATCCATACATATTATATAAACTTTTCCAAAGCACCCTAAGTTTCTACGAATTTTTCTGCAGCTCTATTAAGTTCCTAGTTTTGTTAATTACCACAATGCTCCCTGAACTTCTTCGAAGTCATTGTAGTTTTACAAAGTTCCCTGAAGTTAAAGGAAATTCCCTTAACTCTTTGCCAAGTGAGGCCAACAGAGATTTCAATATGCTTACGATTAAATGCCGATATAATATAAATTCTCAACATTGTTTCTTCAAGTCTTGAACATTTAGAAAAGTAGACATTCATAAAAATCAATAAAAATAAAAAGTAACCTCGAAACTGCTTGACAAATAACGGTGAATAAAAAACTACAAGGGACAGCCCTGTGGGGTTGTACGCAATGGTGACGTAGGACTTATATAATAAATCTTATTTGTAAACTGCAGAAGGAGTTTGTGTTTTGTGTAGGAATAGGAATTTGAGCGGGGATCTCTCTGTTTATACTCTTTAGTATGACGCGTTTGACAGAGATGGCCCACAGAGACTCACGAAGAGCTACTGATTTCAATCAATAACGGTGTGGCTTCTTCCTTCGTCTATGGATGCTCAAGTGGGCCGCAGCTCGCTGCTTGCAGGCAGCCTTTCGTTGTGTACTGGAAAACAATATTCAATACCACGTGCCGAAAACACTGCTGCTGATGCCGACGACCGGACACCACCACACACGGTGATTGGAAGTGAATCCGATCAGCGGTTGAGGCCAGCCTTGCCTACTAGCTGATTGAATAAACACAGTTTGGTGAGACCGGATGGAATTCAACTTTGAAATCTGTGTTAGGGAAATCCCTTTTAACAGGCAATCAGTGATAATTTTATCTATCATAGCAACAGTTGCACATGCGTGCAGTTTTCAATAGTGACATTTTGAAAAATAATAACGTCTTAAGTTAAACAGATGCGTAGAAATATTTCTGATCGATTGGTGATACAATTATTGAAATTGGTCCAGGAGCAGCGGAGTTATTAACGTTCAAACTCTTTCATAATTTTGTTACATGTTCCATTTTCGGTTTTCACAAAGTGTTCCTCCATACAGAAATCATCTCAATTAACTACGCCAATGATGTTCTTGCTGATTATTCAGCTGATTTTGTGTGACACTTTTTGGAGTGATCTGAGGAGGTGAAGCGGTATTTTTCAAGAGTTCTGCTATTGTTCTCTTGGAGCGAGCTTGCAGAGACCGCTTAATGTTGTGTCCCTGCTGTTTATACTTCGGGCAGTCAGTCAGGGTATGCAGGCTCTCCTTGCAGTACACGCATTTTGGAGGAGCACTGCAAGGACTGTCTTGATGCTCGCAGCGTGGTTTGTTCGAGCCGTAGTCCGATGTTTGACCAAGTTGTTTACATTTCGAGCAGTTCATTACCAATGCCATAACCTTGCCAATAGCTACGTAGTGAGGTAACGCTGAACCCGAAAAGGCTAAACGAAACGAGTTTGACAAGGAATAAGATTTTTTGGAGCCTACAATGGTTACCGACTGCATTTGAAGGCAGTCCAATATCTTCACCTTTGGGAGAAAACGGTTTTTAAAGACTTGCTTCGGTAACCACTCCTTCTATTTCTACCTCACTACTGGGTATGTAAACTTGGTATTCCAATGAAAAAAGCTCGTACGCAACAATTTGGTTAGCCTGCTTCCGGTCATCAACGGTAACGCGCAGTTGCATTGGTATCACCGTAAAAATATCGGTAACGGGATTGTTAAATCTATATCTTTTTCACTCGCTATTCATTATTGTTTAAGCATCCTTTCATTATATTAAAGTCCATGTCAATCTGATATTCCTACGATCAGATGCATTGTTCAACTGATCTTTTTTCCAAATAAAACTAATTAATTACTTTCCCGAACCGAAACGTACCAATTCAACGGAAAATAAAACACAACCACCTTTCAAAAGGATATTGAACCGTCATCGAAATCGGACACAACCTGCCAAAACCAGCCACTCGTCGAGCACCTCACGGTTAACCAACAACGTTCCCTTTTGTCACCGCAACCGAGAGCCTCGTGCCAAGCAATTTGAAGCGCTCTGGATGGAGCAACTTTGCAAACCCCCATTGAAAACTTTTCCAAAGAAAAGCGGGTGAATCTTACCTTCTTTTGTTTCCTTTTCCAGCACCGCAAATGACACTCCTCTAGCTATAATTTTCTATAATATAGTCTGTAATGATGGTGGCACCAGTGCACATACCCACACACACACACTCACAAACAACCAAACTGCTGCTGTTTCTCTTCCTTACTTCACTGCGCACTTCTTCTTCTTCTTACTTCTCCTTTATCACTTCCTTTCTCCTACGCGGGCAGAAGCTTTTCGCCAACCATAAATAAACATTTTTTTTCCTTTCTTCGTTATCCTCACAATCGCTCACTGTTATTATCTTCTTCACTGTCCCCGTCCGTTCACCGGATCAAACAATCTTCGTTTCCCGTTCCCCAGAATCCCTCTAACGAGCACTAGAGTAACTGCTCCTCCTTCTCCTCCTCCTTGCCACTGTCCTCTCTAGCAAATCTCAATATCGACGAAAATTGTTATGAATCAACTTTATTCGCCTCTACTTCTTCTTTGGCTTCTTCAATGATAGTCGAACTATCGGACGCTTCTTTTGGTGGAGTCTTCTTCACACCAAAACACAAAATCCAATGCGAGCTCCGGAGTCTCGTTATAGGTTCCCCTGTAATTTGGTCAAACCACTCACTCACTGCCACTGGCTTTTTTCGCCGAACGAGTCAAGCTATCCGACATGAATCGACCACCTTTCTTGTTGTATTTTTATGTATGCTATATCTTCTTCTTCTTTTTCTTCTTCTTCGTCTTTTTATTCTTCTTCCACGGTTCCTTATTCTCCTAGATACACACTAACAAACACTGGCAAGCAAACGACAAACACTTACAACATACGGAACATGTACAGATACGAACGACGAGGCTCAAGTGGGCGGGGGGGTTTGCTCCTATGTAGGTTGGTGGGTGGTTGATTGGGTGGTTGAGATGAGCTTTTGCGGTAGGAAAATTTTCGCTTTTCACACTCTGGTGCTGATGCCCGCTTCTGATGGCACGTAGCTCCTCGGCCGATATGGTTGGTTGTGGGTCTTACAGTTCTGAAATGAACGGAAAAGAAGACTCATTTTAATGACTTTTATTCAGAATGGATCGCACTCAATGGCCAATAGTAGTATACGGTGAGGGGGGAGGGGGAACGGGTTCGGGGTGGTAGAGAAAAGAAAAGTGAGCTCGTCACTGATTACGCATCGCTCACAACAAGGGGGCCGGTTTCACACGTGAGTGGCAGTTTTTAGACAGGGTTGCCAATAGTCCTTCAAAAACTCGGGACAAATGTGACCTTCTGCCTGGTAGACCTTGATTCATTACAACCATATCTTTAATATTTTCAAATAGATCCCTGTCTACTTAAAATTAAATCATTATATTTTACAACGAATTAAGCTACAATTTTTAAAATAAAGTAATAATTTTAGTACTTCAGGAAATAATCATTTTAGCTCTTCTGGAAATAATGATTTAAATAATGATCTTCAGGAAAATTCCAGAGGAACTTCAGGAAAGTTCCAGAGGAACTTCAGGAACGTTCCGGAGGAACTTCAGGAAAATTCCAGAGGAACTTCAGGAAAGTTCCAGAGGAACTTCAGGAACGTTCCGGAGGAACTTCAGGAAACTTTCAGAGGAACTTCAGGAAAGTTCCAGAGAAACTTCAGGAAAGTTCCAGAGGAACTTTATGAAAGTTCCGGAGGAACTTCAAGAAAGTTGCGGAGGAACTTCAGGAAAGTTCCAGAGGAACTTCAGGAACGTTCCGGAGGAACATCAGGAACGTTCCGGAGGAACTTCAGGAAAGTTCCGGAGGAGCTTCAGGAAAGTTCCAGAGGAACTTCAGGAAACTTCCAGAGGAACTTCAGAAAACTTTCAGAGGAACTTCAGGAAAGTTCCAGAGAAACTTCAGGAAAGTTCCAGAGGAATTTTAAGAAAGTTCCGGAGGAACTTCAAGAAAGTTGCGGAGGAACTTCAGGAAAGTTCTGGAGGAATTTCGGGAGAGCTCCGGAGAAACTTCAGAAAATTCCGGAGGAACTTCAGGAAAGTTCCGGAGAAACTTCAGAAAAATTCCGGAGGCATTTCAGAAAAGTTCCGGAGGATTTTCAGGAAAGTTATGCAGGAACTGCACAAAAGTTCCGGAGGATTTTCAGGAAAGTTCCCAAAATTACCACATACCAATTAAGTGGAATTTAATGGAAGATAACCTTTTTTTTGCTGTTTTATTTAAGCATTCCGATAACAACTCAATTTCATTACTTCACTACTCTGAAGATTCCTGAAAACTTTCCTGAATGTCTCTTTATACTTTTCTGAAGATTCGTCGAAATTTTCCTGTAGCTCGCTTGGAACTGTCCTGAAGATCCTTTAAAACATTTCTAAAGCTCGCTTGGAACTTCCCTGAAGTTCTGCCAAAATTTACTTATGGATCGTTCAGAACTTGCATGTAGCTTCCATAAAAGATTTTGTTTCCTAAAAACTGTTAAGAAGTCATGTTAAATTTTGCGCGGAACTTCAATGAAGTTCTCTCAAAACTTCTCTAACAATACCTTGAACCCTAGCTCAATTTGTCGCAATAGGTTCTGTACAAAAATTCTGCCAATTTGCTCGTTAAAAGTCCTGAACCCAAGCACTTTTGCAAAAAATCACCTGAACGGTCATAATTCATCTAAGAAACTTAAAAACTACTTCAAACTATTTTTATGGCTTCTGTGAAGTCTGTAGAATAACTTCTCCAGAAAAAGTAGAAGGGTCTGTGCCTAGGGGCACGAACGGAAGCTTGACGTAGGACCGCTAGTAGACGGAACAAATGTGAAGAGCATTTAGTTCTTTTAATTGATCGTTCATCTATTATCTTAGCTCTTTCCGTTTGTAAATTGTAGGCGTACCAAATTTGTAGTATTTTTTTTTTTTCAAAGAGAAAGTTTATGAAGAGAATCGCTCAAAATTACTTGCACCCCTGCTTCCAAGTTTGGTTATAAGATTACATCTCTGGAGAGCATTTTGTGTGGCCGTTGGGGGCGTGTGGTTCTGAATATGGACAAACAGGCACAGATAAGTTCTATCCCAACTCTTAAGTGTAATAAGCTCGTTGGTACTGAAAAGAGCCGTTTTGTTGTTAAAGTTGGTGATGATTTAACCTCCGAAACCGTACAGAGTGCGTCTGTCGCTTCAAAACGTAGACGACATCTATGGCGAGCGCTTGGCGTGTTCAGAGTAGGTGACAGCATCACGGATCACATTTCCAGGAAAAGCTTCAGCACACCTCATGTTTTCTCGTAGATCAGACCGGAGATACGTTTTACACCACCACGGCTAGCCAGACGACGGATGGCGGTTATCACGAACAACCTTGCGATGCCGCTTGGTGCCTCTTTTACCAAGACCTTTTCCTCCTTTGCCAGTCTGTTGCTTGTTGGGTAGAAGAGTGGACTACCTAACCTTCCACCACCTTCGTACTAGCTTGCTTCTGCTGCCTGTTCACCAAGCCGTCCGAAGCAAAAATGAGTTGAGGCTTTAGTTTAAATGATCTTTATTTTAGTTTAACTTGGACGATTACCATATAAATTTTTTACTAAGTGATTCAATTGCTTTCTTCATCTTTAGGTATGGGCAAAATTCAAAATTTGTTTTACAGAATTAGTCCTAGACTTAGTACACGGTCGACCACCTTGGTGGGATTGGTTTGTTTTGTTTTTAGAATTTGAAGAGAAACTACTTAATACTACTATTTACAGCTTAAAACCTACTCTACTATATACACTTAACCTACTATGTACAAATTGCTTATTAAAGCATGTTCAGAAAGATTGCATTTTTGAATAAATTTAGTTGTCATATCATCAATTTTGGAATCTACTTTGGGAATTTCTGCCTCTTGATGGAGGTCTGCTATTCTTGTGTCGAATGGACGATCTAGGATCATCCTCAACACTCTATTCTGTGCAACCTGGATTTTGTTCCTGTGGGTCTGAGCGCACGATTCCCACACCGGGGCGGCATAGAAGATCGCGGGGGCTATGATCTGTTTGTAAACAGCCAGTTTGTTTTGCCTTGAGAGGCGGGATCTGCGGCAAATGAGCGGATACAAACACCTAACCAAGGCGGAGCACTTAACTAGGGTTTTCTCTATGTGCGAGCGGAACAGGAGCTTCTCATCGAACAACATCCCGAGATAAGTAACATCAGTGGACCACTCGACCCTTGTACCATCCATTATTACGGTACAGGAGGGAGACGGTTTAAGTTTTAATGATTGTCTGTGAAGGAACATGATCGCTTGGGTTTTCGAGGCGTTGATTTTGATTTTCCACGTGGTGGCATAATCAGTAAAGGTGTCAAGGCATCGTTGGAGCTTGTTCGTAATTTCACGAGGCATCCTACCCTTGACGGCTATCGCGGTGTCATCTGCGAACAGAAAGAACACGCAACCGTCTCCTAGAGGAGGGATGTCCGACGTGTAGATGCTGTAAAGCAGTGGTCCCAGCAGACTCCCTTGCGGAACACCTGCTGGGATCGGAAATTGTCCCGAAAGGGAACTATTCAACGACACCCTGAACGACCTTTGCTGGAGATAGTTACGGGTGATTTTCACAAGGTATGGTGGAAAGTTGGAGTTACAAAGCTTGTATATAAGTCCGTCGTGCCAGACATTGTCAAACGCCTTTTCGACGTCTAACAAGGCCATGGCTGTGGACTTGGATACAGCTTTGTTACTCCGGATGTTATTCATCACCCGCACTAGCTGATGATTGGTGGAATGCCCCTTACGGAACCCGAACTGTTCCGGAAGAAGAATGTCATGTTCCTCCACAAACTTGTTTAGTCGGCTGAGGATCAATTTTTCGAACAGCTTGCTCAGCGCTGAGAGCAGGCTAATCGGTCTGTAGCTTGACGGTAGTGAAGGGTCTTTCCCAGGTTTGCGGATCGGGATGATTTTTGCCACCTTCCAGATGCTTGGAAAGTAGTGCAGCTCCAAGCATCTGTTGAAGGTGGCAGCTAGCAGCGAGTGCACCCTCGGGCTGAGATTTTTCAACGCTAGGTTGAATATTCCGTCAAACCCGGGAGCCTTCATGTTCTTACTGTATTTCAGCGCTGAGCAAATTTGTTCCTCTGTAATCCGTTCTTCTGGAGGGACGGCACAAGGGGAGGCATCTAACGTCAGGACGCACTGCGCAACCTGGTTCTCGAGTGGACTTGGGATTTTAGAGCCAAGCAAATGCGACTGGGCAATGTGCTCCCCAATCGCATTGGCCTTCTCTTCGTTGGTGATAAGCCGTTCGTCATTGACTCTAAGTGGTGGAATGGGCTTGGGGTGAGACTTCAGCACCTTGGCAACCTTCCAGAATGGTCTGGAACGGTCGTCCAGGTTCTGAACGAGCCGCCCGAAACTCTCGTTCCGGATTGAGACCATTCTGGAAGCGATCTGCCGATTCAGATCGACCATTTCGTATTTACGCTGCAGATCCCCAGTCCGCTGAAACTGGCGTCTACGAACATTTCTGAGCCGAATCAAGAGTTTGGTGTGGGAATCAATTGCTTGAAACTTACCCCTCACAGGAACTCGTCGAACGCACTCTTCGTCAGCCACGGATATGGCTTGATGGAGACCCTCCAGGGCCCGGTCGATGTCCTCCACTGTGTCGAGCGGTGGGTTGTCGTCGATGTGGCGGTCGACCACGCGTCGAAACTGGACCCAGTTGACTCGATGGTAGTCCTTCCGCTGGCACGGTGCAGGGGCCACGTTGTAGCCCAGCTCGGTCAGCACCGGTTGGTGGTCCGAACTCAGGTCGTTGACGGCAACCGGCTTGGCTAATCTGGTGTTTGCCAAGAACAGGTCCAGCGTCGATGGGTTGCCCGTCGGTGATGTGAAGGTTGGTTCGTCCGGAAACCAGACGGAATAGAGACCATGCTGGGAATGGTCGAATAGCAGGCGGCCGTTCTGGTTCTGCTGGTAGTTCCGCCAGGCCTCGTGCCGGGCGTTCAGGTCCCCTCCGATTACGAAGCGGGCATTGGTGCGGGTTATGATGGCAAGGTCGTTCTTGAACTGCTGTGC